TGGAACCCCTGTCGAATACAGGAGTTACCCTGGACTGGTGTCTGTTGATAGGAGAGGCTGCCATTCCCTCTGTCTGGAGCTAGACCGGTGCTGACTGGAACCCTTGTCGAATACAGGAGCTACCCTGGACTGGTGTCTGTAGATAGGAGAGGCTGCCATTCCCTCTATCGGGAGATAGACTGGTGCCGTCTGGAACCCCTGTCGAATACAGGAGTTCGCCTGGACTGGTGTCTGGTGTGAGAGGCTGCCATTTCCTCTGTCGGGAGCTGGACTGGTGCCATCTGGAACCTCTGTCGAATACAGGAGTTCCCGTGGACTGGTGTCTGGTGTGAGAGGCTGCCATTCCCTCTGTCGGGAGATAGACCAGTGACGTCTGGAACCTCTGTCGAATACAGGAGTTCCCCTGGACTGGTGTCTGGTGTGAGAGGCTGCCATTCCCTCTGTCGGGAGCCTTACTGGTGCCATCTGGAACCCCTGTCGAATACAGGAGTTACCCTGGACTGCTCTATGGTGTGAGAGGCTGCCATTCCCTATGTCGGGAGCTGGACCGGTGCCGTCTGGAACCCCTGTCGAATACAGGAGTTCGCCTGGACTGGTGTCTGTTGATAGGAGAGGCTGCCATTCCCTCTGTCGGGAGCTCGACCAGTTCCGACTGGAACCTCTGTCGAACACAGGAGTTACCCTGGACTGGTTCCTGGTGTGAGAGGCTGCCATTCCCTCTGTCGCGAGCTGGACTGGTTCCGTCTGGAACCCCTGTCGAATACAGGAGTTACCCTGGACTGGTGTCTGGTGTGAGAGGCTGCCATTCCCTCTGTCGGGAGCTGGACTGGTGCCGACTGGAACCCCTGTCGAATGCAGGAGTTACCCTGGACTGGTGTCTGGTGTGAGAGGCTGCCATTTTCTCTGTCGGGAGCTGGACTGGTGCCGTCTGGAACCTCTGTCGAATACAGTAGTTACCCTGGACTGGTGTCTGTAGATAGGAGAGGCTGCCATTCCCTCTGTCGGGAGCTGGACTGGTGCCGACTGGAACCCCCGTCGAATACAGGAGTTACCCTGGACTGGTGTCTGGTGTGAGAGGCTAGATAGATCCTTTATTGTCATTGTCAACAGTACAACGAAATTAAAGTGCTCACCAGTCAGTACATCATTCGTACGTTTAAATAAAACAAGTACATCATTCTTGAATTTACATAAATAAAACAAGAAATAAAAATAAGATAAAATAAAAGATAATCAATAAATTTCACATGTAAAAACTACCCATGTATACCCACATAAAAGTACATTTTATCATTGCACATCCCTATTTTACAGTCAATTGTAAACAGTATTACTTAATAAATAATTAGCAGTATTAAGTGTGGTAATTGCTGTAGGATTAAAGCTGTGTTTGAATCTGTTTGTCCTTGTTTTGTCTGATCTGAATCGTCTGTCTGATGGCAACAGCTCAAACAGAGAGTGTGCAGGGTGAGAAGAGTCCTTTATAATGTTCTTCGCTTTTTCGATGCAAAGGGAATTGTGTAGTTCTTCCAATGTGGGGAGAGAGCACCCGGCGATTGTTTGGGCCGTGTTGATGACCTTTGCAGCGCTTTCCTCTGAGCCACTGTGCAGCTGGTGTACCATACACAGATGTAGTACGTAAGAAGGCTGCCATTCCCTCTGTCGGGAGCTAGACTGGTTCCGTCTGGAACCTCTGTCGAATACAGGAGTTACCCTGGACTGGTGTCTGTAGATATGAGAGGCTGCCATTTCCTCTGTCGGGAGCTAGACTGGTGCCGTCTGGAACCTCTGTCGAATACAGGAGTTACCCTGGACTGGTGTCAGGTGTGAGAGGCTGCCATTCCCTCTGTCCAGAGCTAGACCGGTTCCGACTGGAACTCCTGTCGAATACAGAAGTTACCCTGGACTGGTGTCTGTAGATAGGAGAGGCTGCCATTCCCTCTGTCGGGAGCTGGCCCGGTGCCGACTGGAACCCCTGTCGAATACAGGAGTTCGCCTGGACTGGTGTCTGTAGATAGGAGAGACTGCCATTTCCTCTGTCGAGAGCTAAACTGGTGCCGACTGGAACCCCTGTCGAATACAGGAGTTCGCCTGGACTGGGTTCTGGTGTGAGAGGCTGCCATTCCCTCTGTCGGGAGTTAGACTGGTGCCGTCTGGAACCCCTGTCGAATACAGGAGTTACCCTGGACTGGTGTCTGGTGTGAGAGGCTACCATTCCCTCTGTCGGGAGCTAGACTGGTGCCGACTGGAACCTCTGTCGAATACAGGACTTACCCTGGACTGGTGTCTGTAGATAGGAGAGGCTGCCATTCCCTCTGTCTGCAGGTAGACTGGTGCCGTCTGAAACCTCTGTCGAATACAGGAGTTACCCTAGACTGGTGTCTGGTGTGAGAGGCTGCCATTTCCTCTGTCGGGAGCTGGACTGGTGCCGTCTGGACCCCCTGTTGAATACAGGAGTTCGCCTGGACTGGTATCTGTGGATAGGAGAGGTTGCCATTCCCTCTGTCGAGAGCTGGACTGGTTCCGTCTGGAACCCCTGTCGAATACAGGAGTTACCCTGGACTGGTGTCTGTTGATAGGAGAGGCTGCCATTCCCTCTGTCTGGAGCTAGACCGGTGCTGACTGGAACCCTTGTCGAATACAGGAGCTACCCTGGACTGGTGTCTGTAGATAGGAGAGGCTGCCATTCCCTCTATCGGGAGATAGACTGGTGCCGTCTGGAACCCCTGTCGAATACAGGAGTTCGCCTGGACTGGTGTCTGGTGTGAGAGGCTGCCATTTCCTCTGTCGGGAGCTGGACTGGTGCCATCTGGAACCTCTGTCGAATACAGGAGTTCCCGTGGACTGGTGTCTGGTGTGAGAGGCTGCCATTCCCTCTGTCGGGAGATAGACCAGTGACGTCTGGAACCTCTGTCGAATACAGGAGTTCCCCTGGACTGGTGTCTGGTGTGAGAGGCTGCCATTCCCTCTGTCGGGAGCCTTACTGGTGCCATCTGGAACCCCTGTCGAATACAGGAGTTACCCTGGACTGCTCTATGGTGTGAGAGGCTGCCATTCCCTATGTCGGGAGCTGGACCGGTGCCGTCTGGAACCCCTGTCGAATACAGGAGTTCGCCTGGACTGGTGTCTGTTGATAGGAGAGGCTGCCATTCCCTCTGTCGGGAGCTCGACCAGTTCCGACTGGAACCTCTGTCGAAAACAGGAGTTACCCTGGACTGGTTCCTGGTGTGAGAGGCTGCCATTCCCTCTGTCGCGATCTGGACTGGTTCCGTCTGGAACCCCTGTCGAATACAGGAGTTACCCTGGACTGGTGTCTGGTGTGAGAGGCTGCCATTCCCTCTGTCGGGAGCTGGACTGGTGCCGACTGGAACCCCTGTCGAATGCAGGAGTTACCCTGGACTGGTGTCTGGTGTGAGAGGCTGCCATTTTCTCTGTCGGGAGCTGGACTGGTGCCATCTGGAACCTCTGTCGAATACAGGAGTTACCCTGGACTGGTGTCTGTAGATAGGAGAGGCTGCCATTCCCTCTGTCGGGAGCTGGACTGGTGCCGACTGGAACCCCCGTCGAATACAGGAGTTACCCTGGACTGGTGTCTGGTGTGAGAGGCTAGATAGATCCTTTATTGTCATTGTCAACAGTACAACGAAATTAAAGTGCTCACCAGTCAGTACATCATTCATACGTTTAAATAAAACAAGTACATCATTCTTTAATTTACATAAATAAAACAAGAAATAAAAATAAGATAAAATAAAAGATAATCAATAAATATCACATGTAAAAACTACCCATGTATACCCACATAAAAGTACATTTTATCATTGCACATCCCTATTTTACAGTCAATTGTAAACAGTATTACTTAATAAATAATTAGCAGTATTAAGTGTGGTAATTGCTGTAGGATTAAAGCTGTGTTTGAATCTGTTTGTCCTTGTTTTGTCTGATCTGAATCGTCTGTCTGATTGCAACAGCTCAAACAGAGTGTGCAGGGTGAGAAGAGTCCTTTATAATGTTCTTCGCTTTTTCGATGCAACGGGAATTGTGTAGTTCTTCCAATGTGGGGAGAGAGCACCCGGCGATTTTTTGGGCCGTGTTGATGACCTTTGCAGCGCTTTCCTCTGAGCCACTGTGCAGCTGGTGTACCATACACAGATGCAGTACGTAAGAAGGCTGCCATTCCCTCTGTCGGGAGCTAGACTGGTTCCGTCTGGAACCTCTGTCGAATACAGGAGTTACCCTGGACTGGTGTCTGTAGATATGAGAGGCTGCCATTTCCTCTGTCGGGAGCTAGACTGGTGCCGTCTGGAACCTCTGTCGAATACAGGAGTTACCCTGGACTGGTGTCAGGTGTGAGAGGCTGCCATTCCCTCTGTCCGGAGCTAGACCGGTTTCGACTGGAACCCCTGTCGAATACAGGAGTTACCCTGGACTGGTGTCTGTAGATAGGAGAGGCTGCCATTCCCTCTGTCGGGAGCTGGCCCGGTGCCGACTGGAACCCCTGTCGAATACAGGAGTTCGCCTGGACTGGTGTCTGTAGATAGGAGAGACTGCCATTCCCTCTGTCCAGAGCTAAACTGGTGCCGACTGGAACCCCTGTCGAATACAGGAGTTCGCCTGGACTGGGTTCTGGTGTGAGAGGCTGCCATTCCCTCTGTCTGGAGCTAGACCGGTGCCGACTGGAACCCTTGTCGAATACAGGAGCTACCCTGGACTGGTGTCTGGTGTGAGAGGCTGACATTCCCTCTGTCGGGAGATAGACCGGTGACGTCTGGAACCCCTGTCGAATACAGGAGTTCCCCTGGACTGGTGTCTGGTGTGAGAGGCTGCCATTCCCTCTGTCGGGAGCCTGACTGGTGCCATCTGTAACCCCTGTCGAATACAGGAGTTACCCTGGACTGGGTTCTGGTGTGAGAGGCTGCCATTCCCTCTGTCGGGAGCTGGACTGGTTCCGTCTGGAACCTCTGTCGAATACAGGAGTTATATTGGACTGGTGTCTGGTGTGAGAGGCTGCCATTCCCTCTGTCGGGAGCCTGACTGGTGCCATCTGGAACCCTTGTCGAATACAGGAGTTACCCTGGACTGGTGTATGGTGTGAGAGGCTGCCATTCCCTATGTCGGGAGCTGGACCGGTGCCGTCTGGAACCCCTGTCGAATACAGGAGTTCGCCTGGACTGGTGTCTGTAGATAGGAGAGGCTGCCATTCCCTGTCTGGAGCTAGACCGGTGCCGACTGGAACCCCTGTCGAATACAGGAGTTACCCTGGACTGGTTCCTGGTGTGAGAGGCTGCCATTCCCTCTGTCGCGAGCTGGACTGGTTCCGTCTGGAACCCCTGTCGAATACAGGAGTTACCCTGGACTGGTGTCTGGTGTGAGAGGCTGCCATTCCCTCTGTCGGGAGCTGGACTGGTGCCGACTGGAACCCCCGTCGAATACAGGAGTTACCCTGGACTGGTGTCTGGTGTGAGAGGCTAGATAGATCCTTTATTGTCATTGTCAACAGTACAACGAAATTAAAGTGCTCACCAGTCAGTACATCATTCTTGAATTGACATAAATAAAACAAGAAATAAAAATAAGATAAAATAAAAGATAATCAATAAATATAACATGTTAAAACTACCCAAGTATACCCACATACCCACATAAAAGTAAATTTTATCATTGCACATCCCTATTTTACAGTCAATTGTAAACAGTATTACTTAATAAATAATTACCAGTATTAAGTGTGGTAATTGCTGTAGGATTAAAGCTGTGTTTGAATCTGTTTGTCCTTGTTTTGTCTGATCTGAATCGTCTGTCTGATGGCAACAGCTCAAACAGAGAGTGTGCAGGGTGAGAAGAGTCCTTTATAATGTTCTTCGCTTTTTCGATGCAAGGGAATTGTGTAGTTCTTCCAATGTGGGGAGAGAGCACCCGGCGATTTTTTGGGCCGTGTTGATGACCTTTGCAGCGCTTTCCTCTGAGCCACTGTGCAGCTGGTGAACCATACACAGATGTAGTACGTAAGAAGGCTGCCATTCCCTCTGTCGGGAGCTAGACTGGTTCCGTCTGGAACCTCTGTCGAATACAGGAGTTACCCTGGACTGGTGTCTGTAGATATGAGAGGCTGCCATTTCCTCTGTCGGGAGCTAGACTGGTGCCGTCTGGAACCTCTGTCGAATACAGGAGTTACCCTGGACTGGTGTCAGGTGTGAGAGGCTGCCATTCCCTCTGTCCAGAGCTAGACCGGTTCCGACTGGAACCCCTGTCGAATACAGAAGTTACCCTGGACTGGTGTCTGTAGATAGGAGAGGCTGCCATTCCCTCTGTCGGGAGCTGGCCCGGTGCCGACTGGAACCCCTGTCGAATACAGGAGTTCGCCTGGACTGGTGTCTGTAGATAGGAGAGACTGCCATTCCCTCTGTCGAGAGCTAAACTGGTGCCGACTGGAACCCCTGTCGAATACAGGAGTTCGCCTGGACTGGGTTCTGGTGTGAGAGGCTGCCATTCCCTCTGTCGGGAGTTAGACTGGTGCCGTCTGGACCCCCTGTCGAATACAGGAGTTACCCTGGACTGGTGTCTGGTGTGAGAGGCTACCATTCCCTCTGTCGGGAGCTAGACTGGTGCCGACTGGAACCTCTGTCGAATACAGGACTTACCCTGGACTGGTGTCTGTAGATAGGAGAGGCTGCTATTCCCTCTGTCTGCAGGTAGACTGGTGCCGTCTGAAACCTCTGTCGAATACAGGAGTTACCCTAGACTGGTGTCTGGTGTGAGAGGCTGCCATTTCCTCTGTCGGGAGCTGGACTGGTGCCGTCTGGAACCCCTGTTGAATACAGGAGTTCGCCTGGACTGGTGTCTGTGGATAGGAGAGGTTGCCATTCCCTCTGTCGGGAGCTGGACTGGTTCTGTCTGGAACCCCTGTCGAATACAGGAGTTACCCTGGACTGGTGTCTGTTGATAGGAGAGGCTGCCATTCCCTCTGTCTGGAGCTAGACCGGTGCCGACTGGAACCCTTGTCGAATACAGGAGCTACCCTGGACTGGTGTCTGTAGATAGGAGAGGCTGCCATTCCCTCTGTCGGGAGATAGACTGGTGCCGTCTGGAACCCCTGTCGAATACAGGAGTTCGCCTGGACTGGTGTCTGGTGTGAGAGGCTGCCATTTCCTCTGTCGGGAGCTGGACTGGTGCCATCTGGAACCTCTGTCGAATACAGGAGTTCCCGTGGACTGGTGTCTGGTGTGAGAGGCTGCCATTCCCTCTGTCGGGAGATAGACCAGTGCCGTCTGGAACCCCTGTTGAATACAGGAGTTCTCCTGGACTGGTGTCTGTAGATAGGAGAGGCTGCCATTCCCTCTGTCTGCAGGTAGACTGGTGCCGTCTGGAACCTCTGTCGAATGCAGGAGTTACCCTAGACTGGTGTCTGGTGTGAGAGGCTGCCATTTCCTCTGTCGGGAGCTGGACTGGTTCTGTCTGGAACCCCTGTCGAATACAGGAGTTACCCTGGACTGGTGTCTGTTGATAGGAGAGGCTGCCATTCCCTCTGTCTGGAGCTAGACCGGTGCCGACTGGAACCCCTGTCGAATACAGGAGTTCCCCTGACTGGTTCCTGGTGTGAGAGGCTGCCATTCCCTCTGTCGCGAGCTGGACTGGTTCCGTCTGGAACCCCTGTCGAATACAGGAGTTACCCTGGACTGGTGTCTGGTGTGAGAGGCTGCCATTCCCTCTGTCGGGAGCTGGACTGGTGCCGACTGGAACCCCTGTCGAATGCAGGAGTTACCCTGGACTGGTGTCTGGTGTGAGAGGCTGCCATTTCCTCTGTCGGGAGCTGGACTGGTGCCGACTGGAACCCCCGTCGAATACAGGAGTTACCCTGGACTGGTGTCTGGTGTGAGAGGCTAGATAGATCCTTTATTGTCATTGTCAACAGTACAACGAAATTAAAGTGCTCACCAGTCAGTACATCATTCTTGAATTTACATAAATAAAACAAGAAATAAAAAGATAAAATAAAAGATAATCAATAAATATCACATGTAAAAACTACCCAAGTATACCCACATACCCACATAAAAGTACATTTTATCATTGCACATCCCTATTTTACAGTCAATTGTAAACAGTATTACTTAATAAATAATTAGCAGTATTGAGTGTGGTAATTGCTGGTGGATTAAAGCTGTGTTTGAATCTGTTTGTCCTTGTTTTGTCTGATCTGAATCGTCTGTCTGATGGCAACAGCTCAAACAGAGAGTGTGCAGGGTGAGAAGAGTCCTTTATAATGTTCTTCGCTTTTTCGATGCAAAGGGAATTGTGTAGTTCTTCCAATGTGGGGAGAGAGCACCCGGCGATTGTTTGGGCCGTGTTGATGACCTTTGCAGCGCTTTCCTCTGAGCCACTGTGCAGCTGGTGTACCATACACAGATGTAGTACGTAAGAAGGCTGCCATTCCCTCTGTCGGGAGCTAGACTGGTTCCGTCTGGAACCTCTGTCGAATACAGGAGTTACCCTGGACTGGTGTCTGTAGATATGAGAGGCTGCCATTTCCTCTGTCGGGAGCTAGACTGGTGCCGTCTGGAACCTCTGTCGAATACAGGAGTTACCCTGGACTGGTGTCAGGTGTGAGAGGCTGCCATTCCCTCTGTCCAGAGCTAGACCGGTTCCGACTGGAACTCCTGTCGAATACAGAAGTTACCCTGGACTGGTGTCTGTAGATAGGAGAGGCTGCCATTCCCTCTGTCGGGAGCTGGCCCGGTGCCGACTGGAACCCCTGTCGAATACAGGAGTTCGCCTGGACTGGTGTCTGTAGATAGGAGAGACTGCCATTTCCTCTGTCGAGAGCTAAACTGGTGCCGACTGGAACCCCTGTCGAATACAGGAGTTCGCCTGGACTGGGTTCTGGTGTGAGAGGCTGCCATTCCCTCTGTCGGGAGTTAGACTGGTGCCGTCTGGAACCCCTGTCGAATACAGGAGTTACCCTGGACTGGTGTCTGGTGTGAGAGGCTACCATTCCCTCTGTCGGGAGCTAGACTGGTGCCGACTGGAACCTCTGTCGAATACAGGACTTACCCTGGACTGGTGTCTGTAGATAGGAGAGGCTGCCATTCCCTCTGTCTGCAGGTAGACTGGTGCCGTCTGAAACCTCTGTCGAATACAGGAGTTACCCTAGACTGGTGTCTGGTGTGAGAGGCTGCCATTTCCTCTGTCGGGAGCTGGACTGGTGCCGTCTGGAACCCCTGTTGAATACAGGAGTTCGCCTGGACTGGTATCTGTGGATAGGAGAGGTTGCCATTCCCTCTGTCGAGAGCTGGACTGGTTCCGTCTGGAACCCCTGTCGAATACAGGAGTTACCCTGGACTGGTGTCTGTTGATAGGAGAGGCTGCCATTCCCTCTGTCTGGAGCTAGACCGGTGCTGACTGGAACCCTTGTCGAATACAGGAGCTACCCTGGACTGGTGTCTGTAGATAGGAGAGGCTGCCATTCCCTCTATCGGGAGATAGACTGGTGCCGTCTGGAACCCCTGTCGAATACAGGAGTTCGCCTGGACTGGTGTCTGGTGTGAGAGGCTGCCATTTCCTCTGTCGGGAGCTGGACTGGTGCCATCTGGAACCTCTGTCGAATACAGGAGTTCCCGTGGACTGGTGTCTGGTGTGAGAGGCTGCCATTCCCTCTGTCGGGAGATAGACCAGTGACGTCTGGAACCTCTGTCGAATACAGGAGTTCCCCTGGACTGGTGTCTGGTGTGAGAGGCTGCCATTCCCTCTGTCGGGAGCCTTACTGGTGCCATCTGGAACCCCTGTCGAATACAGGAGTTACCCTGGACTGCTCTATGGTGTGAGAGGCTGCCATTCCCTATGTCGGGAGCTGGACCGGTGCCGTCTGGAACCCCTGTCGAATACAGGAGTTCGCCTGGACTGGTGTCTGTTGATAGGAGAGGCTGCCATTCCCTCTGTCGGGAGCTCGACCAGTTCCGACTGGAACCTCTGTCGAACACAGGAGTTACCCTGGACTGGTTCCTGGTGTGAGAGGCTGCCATTCCCTCTGTCGCGAGCTGGACTGGTTCCGTCTGGAACCCCTGTCGAATACAGGAGTTACCCTGGACTGGTGTCTGGTGTGAGAGGCTGCCATTCCCTCTGTCGGGAGCTGGACTGGTGCCGACTGGAACCCCTGTCGAATGCAGGAGTTACCCTGGACTGGTGTATGGTGTGAGAGGCTGCCATTTTCTCTGTCGGGAGCTGGACTGGTGCCGTCTGGAACCTCTGTCGAATACAGGAGTTACCCTGGACTGGTGTCTGTAGATAGGAGAGGCTGCCATTCCCTCTGTCGGGAGCTGGACTGGTGCCGACTGGAACCCCCGTCGAATACAGGAGTTACCCTGGACTGGTGTCTGGTGTGAGAGGCTAGATAGATCCTTTATTGTCATTGTCAACAGTACAACGAAATTAAAGTGCTCACCAGTCAGTACATCATTCGTACGTTTAAATAAAACAAGTACATCATTCTTGAATTTACATAAATAAAACAAGAAATAAAAATAAGATAAAATAAAAGATAATCAATAAATTTCACATGTAAAAACTACCCATGTATACCCACATAAAAGTACATTTTATCATTGCACATCCCTATTTTACAGTCAATTGTAAACAGTATTACTTAATAAATAATTAGCAGTATTAAGTGTGGTAATTGCTGTAGGATTAAAGCTGTGTTTGAATCTGTTTGTCCTTGTTTTGTCTGATCTGAATCGTCTGTCTGATTGCAACAGCTCAAACAGAGTGTGCAGGGTGAGAAGAGTCCTTTATAATGTTCTTCGCTTTTTCGATGCAACGGGAATTGTGTAGTTCTTCCAATGTGGGGAGAGAGCACCCGGCGATTTTTTGGGCCGTGTTGATGACCTTTGCAACGCTTTCCTCTGAGCCACTGTGCAGCTGGTGTACCATACACAGATGTAGTACGTAAGAAGGCTGCCATTCCCTCTGTCGGGAGCTAGACTGGTTCCGTCTGGAACCTCTGTCGAATACAGGAGTTACCCTGGACTGGTGTCTGTAGATATGAGAGGCTGGCATTTCCTCTGTCGGGAGCTAGACTGGTGCCGTCTGGAACCTCTGTCGAATACAGGAGTTACCCTGGACTGGTGTCAGGTGTGAGAGGCTGCCATTCCCTCTGTCCGGAGCTAGACCGGTTCCGACTGGAACCCCTGTCGAATACAGGAGTTACCCTGGACTGGTGTCTGTAGATAGGAGAGGCTGCCATTCCCTCTGTCGGGAGCTGGCCCGGTGCCGACTGGAACCCCTGTCGAATACAGGAGTTCGCCTGGACTGGTGTCTGTAGATAGGAGAGACTGCCATTCCCTCTGTCCAGAGCTAAACTGGTGCCGACTGGAACCCCTGTCGAATACAGGAGTTCGCCTGGACTGGGTTCTGGTGTGAGAGGCTGCCATTCCCTCTGTCGGGAGTTAGACTGGTGCCGTCTGGACCCCCTGTCGAATACAGGAGTTACCCTGGACTGGTGTCTGGTGTGAGAGGCTACCATTCCCTCTGTCGGGAGCTAGACTGGTGCCGACTGGAACCTCTGTCGAATACAGGACTTACCCTGAACTGGTGTCAGGTGTGAGAGGCTGCCATTCCCTCTGTCGGGAGCTACACCGGTTCCGACTGGAACCCCTATTGAATACAGGAGTTACCCTGGACTGGTGTCTGTAGATAGGAGAGGCTGCCATTCCCTCTGTCGGGAGCTGGCCCGGTGCCGACTGGAACCCCTGTCGAATTCAGGAGTTCGCCTGGACTGGGTTCTGGTGTGAGAGGCTGCCATTCCCTCTGTCGGGAGCTGGCCCGGTGCCGACTGGAACCCCTGTCGAATACAGGAGTTCGCCTGGACTGGTGTCTGTAGATAGGAGAGACTGCCATTCCCTCTGTCGAGAGCTAAACTGGTGCCGACTGGAACCCCTGTCGAATACAGGAGTTCGCCTGGACTGGGTTCTGGTGTGAGAGGCTGCCATTCCCTCTGTCGGGAGTTAGACTGGTGCCGTCTGGACCCCCTGTCGAATACAGGAGTTACCCTGGACTGGTGTCTCGTGTGAGAGGCTACCATTCCCTCTGTCGGGAGCTAGACTGGTGCCGACTGGAACCTCTGTCGAATACAGGACTTACCCTGGACTGGTGTCTGTAGATAGGAGAGGCTGCCATTCCCTCTGTCGGGAGCTAGACTGGTGCCATCTGGAACCTCTGTGGAATACAGGAGTTACCCTGGACTGGTGTCAGGTGTGAGAGGCTGCCATTCCCTCTGTCGGGAGCTAGACCGTTTCCGACTGGAACCCCTGTCGAATACAGGAGTTACCCTGGACTGGTGTCTGTAGATAGGAGAGGCTGCCATTCCCTCTGTCGGGAGCTGGCCCGGTGCCGACTGGAACCCCTGTCGAATACAGGAGTTCGCCTGGACTGGTGTCTGTAGATAGGAGAGACTGCCATTCCCTCTGTCCAGAGCTAAACTGGTGCCGACTGGAACCCCTGTCGAATACAGGAGTTCGCCTGGACTGGGTTCTGGTGTGAGAGGCTGCCATTCCCTCTGTCGGGAGTTAGACTGGTGCCGTCTGGACCCCCTGTCGAATACAGGAGTTACCCTGGACTGGTGTCTGGTGTGAGAGGCTACCATTCCCTCTGTCGGGAGCTAGACTGGTGCCGACTGGAACCTCTGTCGAATACAGGACTTACCCTGGACTGGTGTCAGGTGTGAGAGGCTGCCATTCCCTCTGTCGGGAGCTAGACCGGTTCCGACTGGAACCCCTATTGAATACAGGAGTTACCCTGGACTGGTGTCTGTAGATAGGAGAGGCTGCCATTCCCTCTGTCGGGAGCTGGCCCGGTGCCGACTGGAACCCCTGTCGAATTCAGGAGTTCGCCTGGACTGGGTTCTGGTGTGAGAGGCTGCCATTCCCTCTGTCGGGAGCTGGCCCGGTGCCGACTGGAACCCCTGTCGAATACAGGAGTTCGCCTGGACTGGTGTCTGTAGATAGGAGAGACTGCCATTCCCTCTGTCGAGAGCTAAACTGGTGCCGACTGGAACCCCTGTCGAATACAGGAGTTCGCCTGGACTGGGTTCTGGTGTGAGAGGCTGCCATTCCCTCTGTCGGGAGTTAGACTGGTGCCGTCTGGACCCCCTGTCGAATACAGGAGTTACCCTGGACTGGTGTCTCGTGTGAGAGGCTACCATTCCCTCTGTCGGGAGCTAGACTGGTGCCGACTGGAACCTCTGTCGAATACAGGACTTACCCTGGACTGGTGTCTGTAGATAGGAGAGGCTGCCATTCCCTCTGTCGGGAGCTAGACTGGTGCCATCTGGAACCTCTGTGGAATACAGGAGTTACCCTGGACTGGTGTCAGGTGTGAGAGGCTGCCATTCCCTCTGTCGGGAGCTAGACCGTTTCCGACTGGAACCCCTGTCGAATACAGGAGTTACCCTGGACTGGTGTCTGTAGATAGGAGAGGCTGCCATTCCCTCTGTCGGGAGCTGGCCCGGTGCCGACTGGAACCCCTGTCGAATACAGGAGTTCGCCTGGACTGGGTTCTGGTGTGAGAGGCTGCCATTCCCTCTGTCGGGAGTTGGACTGGTGCCTCTGGAACCCCTGTCGAATACAAGAGTTCGCCTGGACTGGTGTCTGTAGATAGGAGAGGCTGCCATTCCCTCTGTCGAGAGCTAAACTGGTGTCGACTGGAACCCCTGTCGAATACAGGAGTTCGCCTGGACTGGGTTCTGGTGTGAGAGGCTGCCAATCCGTCTGTCCGGGGTTGGACTGGTGCCGTCTGGACCCCCTGTCGAATACAGGAGTTCGCCTGGACTGGTGTCTGGTGTGAGACGCTACCATTCCCTCTGTCGGGAGCTAGACTGGTGTCGACTGGAACCTCTGTCGAATACAGGAGTTCGCCTGTACTGGTGTTTGGTGTGAGAGACTGCCATTTCCTCTGTCGGGAACTGGACTGGTGCCATCTGGAACCTCTGTCGAATACAGGAGTTACCCTGGATTGGTGTCTGATGTGAGAGGCTAGATAGATCCTTTATTGTCATTGTCACCAGTACAATGAAATTTAAAGTGCTCACCAGTCAGTACATCATTCATAAATTGAAATAAATAAAACAAGAAATAAAAATAAGATAAAATTAAAGATACTCAATACATTTCATATGTAAAAACTACCCATGTATACCCACATACCCACATAAAAGTACATTTTATCATTGCACATCCCTATTTTACAGTCAATTGTAAACAGTATTACTTAATAAATAATTTGCAGTATTGAGTGTGGTTATTGCTGTAGGATTAAAGCTGTGTTTGAATCTGTTTGGCCTTGTTTTGTCTGATCTGAATCGTCTGTCTGATGGCAACAGCTCAAACAGAGAGTGTGCAGGGTGAGAAGAGTCCTTTATAATGTTTTTCGCTTTTTCGATGCAACGGGAATTGTGTAGTTCTTCCAATGTGGGGAGAGAGCACCCGGCGATTTTTTGGGCCGTGTTGATGACCTTTGAAGCGCTTTCCTCTCAGCCACTGTGCAGCTAGTGTACCATACACAGATGTAGTACGTAAGAAGGCTGCCATTCCCTCTGTCGGGAGCTAGACTGGTTACGTCTGGAACCTCTGTCGAATACAGGAGTTACCCTGGACTGGTGTCTGTAGATATGAGAGGCTGCCATTTCCTCTGTCGGGAGCTAGACTGGTGCCGTCTGGAACCTCTGTCGAATACAGGAGTTACCCTGGACTGGTGTCAGGTGTGAGAGGCTGCCATTCCCTCTGTCCGGAGCTAGACCGGTTCCGACTGGAACCCCTGTCGAATACAGGAGTTACCCTGGACTGGTGTCTGGTGTTAGAGGCTACCATTCCCTCTGTCGGAAGCTAGACTGGTGCCGTCTGGAACCTCTGTCGAATACAGGAGTTACCCTGGACTGGTGTCAGGTGTGAGAGGCTGCCATTCCCTCTGTCCGGAGCTAGACCGGTTCCGACTGGAACCCCTGTCGAATACAGGAGTTACCCTGGACTGGTGTCTGTAGATAGGAGAGGCTGCCATTCCCTCTGTCGGGAGCTGGCCCGGTGCCGACTGGAACCCCTGTCGAATACAGGAGTTCGCCTGGACTGGTGTCTGTAGATAGGAGAGACTGCCATTCCCTCGGTCGAGAGCTAAACTGGTGCCGACTGGAACCCCTGTCGAATACAGGAGTTCGCCTGGACTGGGTTCTGGTGTGAGAGACTGCCATTCCCTCTGTCTGGAGTTAGACTGGTGCCGTCTGGACCCCCTGTCGAATACAGGAGTTACCCTGGACTGGTGTCTGGTGTGAGAGGCTACCATTCCCTCTGTCGTGAGCTAGACTGGTGCCGACTGGAACCTCTGTCGAATACAGGACTTACCCTGGACTGGTGTCAGGTGTGAGAGGCTGCCATTCCCTCTGTAGGGAGCTAGACCGGTTCCGACTGGAACCCCTATTGAATAAAGGAGTTACCCTGGACTGGTGTCTGTAGATAGGAGAGGCTGCCATTCCCTCTGTCGGGAGCTGGCCCGGTGCCGACTGGAACCCCTGTCGAATACAGGAGTTCGCCTGGACTGGGTTCTGGTGTGAGAGGCTGCCATTCCCTCTGTCGGGAGCTGGCCCGGTGCCGACTGGAACCCATGTCGAATACAGGAGTTCGCCTGGACTGGTGTCTGTAGATAGGAGAGACTGCCATTCCCTCTGTCGAGAGCTAAACTGGTGCCGACTGGAACCCCTGTCGAATACAGGAGTTCGCCTGGACTGGGTTCTGGTGTGCGAGGCTGCCATTCCCTCTGTCGGGAGTTAGACTGGTGCCGTCTGGACCCCCTGTCGAATACAGGAGTTACCCTGGACTGGTGTCTGATGTGAGAGGCTACCATTCCCTCTGTCGGGAGCTAGACTGGTGCCGACTGGAACCTCTGTCGAATACACGACTTACCCTGGACTGGTGTCTGTAGATAGGAGAGGCTGCCATTCCCTCTGTCGGGAGCTAGACTGGTGCCTTCTGGAACCTCTGTCGAATACAGGAGTTACCCTGGACTGGTGTCAGGTGTGAGAGGCTGCCATTCCCTCTGTCGGGAGCTAGACCGGTTCCGACTGGAACCCCTGTCGAATACAGGAGTTACCCTGGACTGGTGTCTGTAGATAGGAGAGGCTGCCGTTCCCTCTGTCGGGAGCTGGCCCGGTGCCGACTGGAACCCCTGTCGAATACAGGAGTTCGCCTGGACTGGGTTCTGGTGTGAGAGGCTGCCATTCCCTCTGTCGGGAGTTGGACTGGTGCCGTCTGGAACCCCTGTCGAATACAAGAGTTCGCCTGGACTGGTGTCTGTAGATAGGAGAGGCTGCCATTCCCTCTGTCGAGAGCTAAACTGGTGCCGACTGGAACCCCTGTCGAATACAGGAGTTCGCCTGGACTGGGTTCTGGTGTGAGAGGCTGCCATTCCGTCTCTGCGGGGTTGGACTGGTGCCGTCTGGACCCCCTGTCCAATACAGGAGTTCGCCTGGACTGGTGTCTGGTGTGAGACGCTACCATTCCCTCTGTCGGGGGCTAGACTGGTGTCGACTGGAACCTCTGTCGAATACAGGAGTTCGCCTGTACTGGTGTTTGGTGTGAGAGACTACCATTCCCTCTGTCGGAAGCTAGACTGGTGCCGACTGGAACCTCTGTGGAATACAGGACTTACCCTGGACTGGTGTCTGTAGATAGGAGAGGCTGCCATTCCCTCTGTCGGGAGCTAGACTGGTGCCGTCTGGAACCTCTTTCGAATACAGGAGTTACCCTGGACTGGTGTCAGGTGTGAGAGGCTGCCATTCCCTCTGTCGGGAGATAGACCGGTGACGTCTGGAACCCCTGTCGAATACAGGAGTTCCCCTGGACTGGTGTCTGGTGTGAGAGGCTGCCATTCACTCTGTCGGGAGCCTGACTGGTGCCATCTGGAACCCCTGTCGAATACAGGAGTTACCCTGGACTGGGTTCTGGTGTGAGAGGCTGCCATTCCCTCTGTCGGGAGCTGGACTGGTTCCGTCTGGAACCTCTGTCGAATACAAGAGTTATATTGGACTGGTGTCTGGTGTGAGAGGCTGCCATTCCCTCTGTTGGGAGCCTGACTGGTGCCATCTGGAACCCCTGTCGAATACAGGAGTTACCCTGGACTGGTGTATGGTGTGAGAGGCTGCCATTCCCTCTGTCTGGAGCTAGACCGGTGCCGACTGGAACCCCTGTCGAATACAGGAGTTACCCTGGACTGGTTCCTGGTGTGAGAGGCTGCCATTCCCTCTGTCGCGAGCTGGACTGGTTCCGTCTGGAACCCCTGTCGAATACAGGAGTTACCCTGGACTGGTGTCTGGTGTGAGAGGCTGCCATTCCCTCTGTCGGGAGCTGGACTGGTGCCGACTGGAACCCCTGTCGAATGCAGGAGTTACCCTGGACTGGTGTCTGGTGTGAGAGGCTGCCATTTTCTCTGTCGGGAGCTGGACTGGTGCCGTCTGGAACCTCTGTCGAATACAGGAGTTACCCTGGACTGGTGTCTGTAGATAGGAGAAGCTGCCATTCCCTCTGTCGGGAGCTGGACTGGTGCCGACTGGAACCCCCGTCGAATACAGGAGTTACCCTGGACTGGTGTCTGGTGTGAGAGGCTAGATAGATCCTTTATTGTCATTGTCAACAGTA